AGCAAGTGATGCCCCCGTTAACGGCCCGGTAATATATCCTAAATTCAACGGTATCGTAAATCGCGCTCATCCCCACTGAAAACAGTAAACAGTGTGATGTGAATCCAAGTGCCGGAGTGAGGACTGTTCTGTCAAAATAATTAAGAAAAATAGGGGAAAGCTGGGTGCATATGAATACATTGCTCATCACGTTTTGCAAATGGGATGCTTCCAAGGGCAGATGTCAGGAAAATGTCCATTTTCGTGGCACGCAGGTCAGGGGTTTAGGTAGAACCGAAGTCCACCGCAAAGCTGTGAGAGGTTTCAAGAACCGTGGGGATGCTGTAACGCTGTGAGGGCAACCCACGACTGACAGTAACAACCATGTTTTCAGGACAAACTCGGCGACAGTTAAACTAGTAAGGTGGTCAGATAGGTTGCCTTTGTTTCAGCTCTGACTGAATTCTGCGTAACTAGATACGAAGTCCCACTAGCATGTTTCTGCAAACAAAATATTGAAACAGTGTTACTTTATTGTTTATTCAACATGGACAAACTCAAACCGAATAAATTATATTGACAGATTAGATCAGGTCTGGTCTAATTTTTCCAGTTTTATCAGAATGCTGTGAGTATGTGTATTGTATCTTTGGGATGTGTTCACTGAAGAAATAACATGGCTTTTAAAATTGAAATTTGTTTCTAATAGTAATGATTTGTTAGGCTAATTAGATTATATATAAGGTCCATACAAATCCTGGGCTTTCTTAGACAAAATCATGGGTGGCGTAAAGGTCCTACTAAGGCAAAAGTCCCACTGACTACAGAATGGAAGTGCCTGTCCCACGTGGGACCTGTTACGCATCACTTTTCTTTACAGTGTAATTAAATATAGAAATATTCAATAAAAGATCAGATTATTATAAGGTAGCTTGAAGAAAAAAAAATCAAATTTTTAGTTCTTCTAGCTCTATATAAAGTTTGAAAAACAGATGCTTAATTACCTGATTATATTTTTCTTTTTTGAAGGCAAACTGAGTATTTCGTGTGAAAACAGCAAGTATGAGAAATATGTCAAATTTTCCCTTAACAGGTGCATCCTTTGCATATTGTGTGGCATTTATCAAACTAAAAGTTTTTCAGATGCTTCCTTTGTAGTTTCATGTTGAAAAAACAGGAAAAGCAAAAAGAATGGGATGTATGCTGCGGATAAATAATTATGTATTTTATCTTTAAAAATGTCAGGCCACCTCTAAGGGTAGAAACTAATTATGGTACAAGCTAGGCTTGCTCTGACCTTCAGAGTTTTCAAGCAGTTCTAAACCTGTTGGGTAACTTATCAAATGCCCTTTGAAATGGGTGGAAAAAACCTGGAATAAGTATTAATAAAATAATAAATCTTCTGCATATATAACCTAATTCATACAGTGTTACAGCAGGTTTAACTCAGTTTACCTAGTGTAATGATGAACCCTAAACATACATAAGACTAAATTTTTTCAATGTATTTAATTATCACAACTTTTTCTTACATTTGGTTTGAATTTTATGTGCTGAAATGATGGAGAATTTTACTTAATCTGTGCATTCTACAGTTAGAAGAAAAATAGCCCTGGCTTTCGTTTGTCGTGTAACCTGGTTGTGCAGGTACAGTGTTGTATAATCTACCTGGAGATGTTATCTTTTCACCAAAGGGGCTGCTAACAGTAATTTATGAGGAAAAAATGACTACGTTTTCCTAAATATCCTGTCATCTCTAAAAGAGATGAGTGAGGTTCTAGGGACAAGGGAAGCAAGGGTTCTGGTTATTCTTTGTTACTTTGCGTTGAGTTTTGAGTAAATTCAGCCTAAAAGATGCAAGAATGGGACAATTTTTTTTTTCCTTTGGAAAGCCGGGCCTTCATTTCCATCTGAATTTCATTTGAGCCATGTCATAGCGAGTAGAAATCATTTTTCCCAGCCTTGGAACATGTCTCACATAAGGTCCAACCACATCATAGTCCTTAGTGACTACAGTGATTTATTTTTTATTTAGTTCGGTTGAATATTTTGAAGTTAACAGCTCGTGGGAGCCTCTGAGCTCTGCTTTCTTAGCAATGAAATAGAGGTTTCTTTGTTTTATTTCCTTTGAGTGAAATGATTACCTCAGCCTTCACTTTCATGCTAGTGATTCAAAAGAGGAACAAAGGAAATCTTCACCTACTGTCTCTGCAAAAGCTATTGATTTAAACATAGCAATTAAATAAATATGTATGCTTGAAAAGGTTAAGATCTGTTAGTGTTGTTAAACTGAAGACTCCTGTTTACCTACAGAGTAGGTATTGTGCAAAGAGCTGAAATAAGAGCTTCCCTTCCCTGACTCACTGTTGACCTTAACCCAGACCGCTCATGTTCAGTGTTTGTAGAGCTGAGATGTTTTGTGTGATCTTTTCACAGAGCTTCTCCGATTCAGGAATTATTAATCTGTCAAAGAGTAGATAGCAATCAGGAGCTGAACTGAGACTCTTACAAAGTGAACAACATAATCAATAAAGCATCTAAACAATGGGCCTGTTCTGGATAATTAATTCTTGCAAGTAAAAGTTTTAGAATCCCTGCAGAAATGTTAGGAATTATTTTAAAATGTGGTGGACCTGATAAATTTACTTAACAGTCTGTGAAAGGAATTTGTGGATTTGAAGATTATGTGAAGGAAATGTACAAAGGATAGAGTTGCAGCAATTTTTTTTTTTTGTTAAATGTATTCCTGGTCTCTCGCATAGTGTGAATTCTTCCTACATTTTCAGAAACTGAATTCAACACCTTTGTGTTCTTTTAAATAGAGAAGAATGCTTTGTAAGTTACTTGAATATTTTTAAATATTCAGGTTTTGCAGTTATAAATGAGAGCTGAATTTTGCAATCTAGGTGGATATTTTACAATTCATTTTCTTGTTGCTTACCGAGTATATGTCATTTACTGATTAGTTATTTTTATGTTGATTTTCAGCTAACTCTTAACACCACATGCAAGATGTAGCTTTTTATGTTCCTTGACTGGGAATTAGGCTTCTCAGTTAAATTCTCACTTTTAGAAAGTCAAATTAGTTTTCTAGTTTCCGAGCAAATATTCCAAACTTTTTCCCCATTACAGAAGTCAATAGCTAAATTAGCCCAAATGCTGTGTGTTCACAAAAGACCTGATTGAAATTTTCTTCATTTCTTATCTAAGCCAGGCTGGCTCCTCTCTCCCTATGTTCATTTTTAGCTGAAGGAGGCTGGCTACAACATATGCATATTCTTCATTTTGAGGAATGATTGTACAAGATATTCTGTGCTTTCTGTCACTGAATTAAGGAATAATGAATTGAGCAGTAATCTGCTGCTTGTCTTCCACCGTCAGGATCAGATGCGTAGAGATTATCAATCCTTTTTGAACTTTGTTCTTGGAGTAAAGCATTGCATATCCTCTCTTACAGTGAGAGAAAAAGTAAATGCATGGTCTCAGTCACCCAGGTAAGAAAAAAGCCTTCAAACAGTACGACAGTTCTCTTGCTTTCACCTAGCATTCCTTTAATTATTTTAGATTCAATACAATGGAAAAAATCACCAAAGGACTTGAAAGCATGTGGTATGAATAACTTAATGCAGATCTGAAGACCAGCTGGAGGTTAAAACTCAATCAAATCTGACTGTTGTACATACACAAACTATTGAACTCAAGTTGAATCCTCATGCGAGTATTAAATTACAGTGCAGCCCTGAATTGACCCTTTAGGAAGGAAATAATACATATAATAGTGTGCTTGATACCAAGAATGCACTACATATAAGCATGCAAGCTTTGAACTTCATGAAGGAAAAGAAAGCAGAAAATATAAACGCAGTTAAAAAGGCGGAAAGGGCATCTAAGAGAACAGAAAAAGAACATACCATGTAATGTCATCGGATTTATCTAGGTATGTTATTCTTCACCTTGAAAGTTGTCTGCAAATTACAAAAAGTAGCTGGGCCAGAACATGACTTCAATCTGAAGTATCTATTTGATGGAAGACAATTCCAACACCCTCAGTTGTCCTGATTAGAAATGTTAGGTAGCTTCAATGTTTGACTCTTGCCTTTGGCTGTAATCAGCATTAAGAATGTAAAATGAGAAGACTGTTCATTCCAGCCTGGATCTTCAAGTGTGTAAACAAAACCCGTGAAATAAATCTGGATAAACCATTCTCCTAGAAGTTGTTAAGTAAACCTTCCTACTCTCTCCAAAATAATTTCTTGAGTTTAGTTTCACT